TATACATCATCAGAGTAAGGTAACATCGTCACAACAAATTTCAAGCTAACGAGTCAGAAAAACTCACCCGCAAGTCCCTAAAAAGTGGTATATATACTTTACATCTGGCCTCCTTGAGTAAAGCCATTCGACAGCTGGTCAAGAGGAATCGGAGTGATGGTCATAACTTAAATTTAGAAAGGTGGAGATAGGGGTCATCAAGCCTTGATGGCCAAAAACAGAGGTTCTTTTTTGCTGTCCTAATTACTTTGAGTCATCACTTCGGGTTTCGTGCATAATCGAACACAAACAGTCACATTAAATACAGAAATAGACATACTCCCATGCATCGAAGTTGACATATGACCTTAACTAACCAAATCACTTTATACTTGATCAAAGAGGCCAGATGTAGAGTATAAATATACCACTTTTTACGGATTTGGCAGTGAGTTTCCTTGACTCGTTAGCTTGAATTGTGTTGTGACGATGTTACCTCGTTCTGATGATATCCGTCATATGACGGACGAAAGCTTAGCTTATCAAGAGGAATCCGCTTGAATTGTAGCTTGAATTTTTATTGTGACGATGATACCTTGCTCTGATGATGTTCGTCATATAAAGAACGAAAGCTTAGCACCTTTTCACCGGAATCGAATGAGATTACCTCGGAAACAGTCCCAGTAAAGCCAATTGACAACTGGCCAAGAGGAATCCGCCATCGTCTTCCAGTAGAACCGACCTTCTAATCTCTTCACACAACACTTTCACTCGAAATGGAAGTAAGCACAACAAATATAACTTTGCCCCATCAACATTCCCAGGACAGAATATGATATGGGAAAATGGCTGGCCTTTGTTGAAATTCACCTCTTCCCTGTGATTCAAGGGAACTCGTGGCAATGGGGCGTAGTGGTTATTGTGGCAAGAATATACACCGCACTAACGTGGTTCGAATCCCGCTGGGGGTATTAAAACGATCTAGGCTAAATCAAAATTGTAGTCCACTATGGATGAGTCTAGGCAAAATTAAATGTAAAGCTAAGTCTATTCGAATCGTTTAATGAAAATTTAACAGCCAGTCTTTCGTCACCTAAAATGAAATAGAGTGAATACATCTCGTATACATTAAAATTATCAATGCATTTTCTCTTATAATTAACACCACACAAGAGATATAAGCAAGGCTTTTGGCCTATCAGCATAGGTACCTGAAAAGGACAAGATGCTAGAAGAACATGCTTGGGGAATCCCTCTTCCTACATCATATCGTATGCGTTTGTGTGGATTATCACAAAAGTGCAGTGCATAGCTGTGTTGGTCATTATCCTACATGCTGCTTGGATTCTTCTCAAAGGATCCAAAATCATTCAAGCCCAACCAAATTCATCAATCAGCGCCCAGATCCAGGTTTATTGTATGAAAAAAGCCAGGCAAGTTAACCTTCGCCAGTGAATCCACATAAAGTCCGCCCAAACCAGTGTGGGCGTAGAATGAAACGTCTCTCGTGCCAAATTACCGAAGCGAGAGTCAAAGAAGATCTTCTTCAAAGATGAACAACTGAGCGCCACTTTCTTTTCGACTAAAGATCTAATCAGTCCATTTCGCCAGTTCAGCAATCTTGTGAATACCCACAAATATTTGATTCCGCGTTCGAGGGACTGCTAAGGCATTCGACCTCGAGAAGTGGCTCGTCAATTCGATATCTAAAGTCAACCTATCAACGAAAAATAAGCAATGTAGTCGGCTGCTACAGCAAATATAACTTTGCCTCATCAACAATCCTACCACATAATGTGAAATTGTAAAATACCAAGCCTGACTTGAAATTCACATTTGCCCCATGACCCAAGAGCACTCGTAACAAAGTGGAATAGTGGTTAGCGTGTTGTGCTTTACACTGCACTAACACAATCCGGGTTCGAGTCCCGCTGGGCGTGCTGATGAGAACTGGTCAAGGTAATCCCACTTTGAACGGGAATACCTTTCGGGAGGTGAAGATATGTGAAATTTAATGGAAATTTAAGGTCTACTAATAGCATTGTGGGATTTGGGCGATAATGAATCCGTCTTTGCTGGTCCCCTCTCTTAACTCACCTTCCGATTTCATTAAGACGGGCAGTTTTTCCCCCAAACATTTGTCACTGCCTCGGCCCGAGATCCTGGGCAAATCAGTCATTCCGGGTAGACCGAATGCATTTGGATGGTACATATAGGCAGGTTTATTGATGCTACTCGCTTGAACAGCACAATTGGTCACCATGGCAACACGAGATCTCCTAGCTGGCCGTACTATCGCCTTGAGTTTAGTCTCAGAAATCGGACTTGTATCATCTTCTTTCTCAGCCAACAATCTGCTTTGTATCATCTTCTCTCTGTTATCCTTCTCCACTTTTTGACGCATTCTTTTGTGTTCCCTCTTGCATTGTCTTTCGCCTCGTTGCCTTGTCTCTCTTCTGTTCTCTCTCAGCCGCACAGACAGGACATCCTCATCTTCCCTACCCTCCCGCACCGGCTCTATCTTGCTTTTCCTCTCAGCCTCTCTGGTCCACTTTGCGCGGAGGTTGCGGTCCTCCCATCGGGTGGGCAAATGATTCGCCTGAAATTCCAGACCACGGCCTTTGAAAGATGTGTTTTTAATGGGAGAGCTGGTCGGCCCAATTCGTCCGTCAGAGGGCAGACGAGCTCGCCATGACTGGCTGCTTTGAGAGTCCTCAATCTTTTTGAGTAACCTTAAAACCGAGCTTCCTGTCGGCTTCACTCGTGCCCCCCTTGGCCGGGCGTTGGTGCTAGCGACGAGTTCTTCTGTCGTCTTGGCGGATTTGGTGACGTCCATCTTGGTCGGCGATTCGCCATGACGCACATGAAGTTGCCGGACCGAAGAGGTCGTTTCTTGAGCTGGCCCGCATCGAGGACCGATGCACGGCGTTCGGCGAAGACCGGTTGCCCGCGGTCCGACCGGCCTCGGCTCGACGAGTCGATCTTGCCGACAGGTTGGATTAGGCCGGCTCATCTGCCTCATCGACGATCGGTCGAGTTGAGGCGACGAGACGGTAGCTTCTGTCGGTCGACTCGACGATCGCCATCTCGGACTCGTGGGCTCGATCGGCTGTGGGCGAATCGAGTTGCCGAGACGCCGTTTGAGACAGTTTGTCCGTTGCATCACATCTTGCCTCAGATGCAGCTTCAACAGTTGCATCATAGACGAGGCCGCCTGTTCGCTTCGATGCTCCGCCCAGGTCTCGTTTCCTGCACACTTCTGCGGTCTCTGAGGCATAGAACAAGCCGTCACCGAGCCGAACTTTGGCATCGCAAACTCGTGTCTACACCGTCCTGTCCTACCGGACGTCACATCTCGTCCCGGTCTGTCCACCAGACCCCACGAAGACCCGGCACCTCTGCCTCGCCCAGGCACAAGTGGGGATTCGGGCCTGGCATCCTCTGAGCTCAGGCTACTGCTCTTCTCTCTCATCTCACTCTCCGTCAGACTCGACGAACCCGAGCTCTCCGGCCGCCCGAACAACCGGCTGGCTGGGTGGGCGGGCCAGTGTCTGGCAGAGCTCTGATCCACCGTTGGCAGGCCGACGTAGCGAGTGTTGGTGCCTTCGTCGAGAAGTCGATCAACCGCAGCTTTGAGGGTACGTGAGAAGGGAATTGAGTTGTCTGAGCTTTGGCTACTGTCCGCCTCGCTTGGAGTGATGGGCTCCCGGTAGGGCGGCAACCATTGCTGCCCCCTCGTTGAATAGAGGCCTTCAGAGGAGACTGCAACTGCAGGGAGCTTAGAGGAGGCGCTTTGCATGGCACCATGTGGAGGGCCTCGAAAGGCATAGTCCTAGAGTGCGGGGGGCATTGTCTTCAAGGCTCTTCGAAGGACACCTTTCAATCAGTTTGGAGTGTAAATCCAAAAAATTCTGACCAATTGTAAAGTAACCGCTGAGCTAACGAGACCCTGCAAGGTTGATATGAACATTCCCCAATTTTCCGCAAGACCCTCTTCTAGATCCGGGAGGGGGTGATGAGGGTCAGAAAAGTTGCAGCAGTGATCCGCTTCGCGATAGAGTATTAAGGGTATCACACTTCAACCCAACAAAAAGGATAAAAAGTTAGGAGAAGAGAACAAATTAGGTTTTTCAGCTGGCAAAAAGCCAAAAATCGAAAAGAGTGAGACTATGATGGAGAAGGATGGTAAATGGACAAAAGTGCCGGGTGTAGCCTGTGAAACTACCGGCAATTGTCATTTACGCAGTCATTTGGCTTCATCCTTTCTATCGACGTGAGGTTGAATAGTACGTTTTGGTTGCCTATACTCTTGCTTTCACTCACCCTGTCTCTGTCTGTCTGTCTCTCTCTCTTGCTCTTTTGAAATCTGTCTTTCTTTGACGCATCTCTTTGCTGGTTTATGTGTCCGGCACAGTAGCTAGGATAGTATGGATTCCCGATTTGTCAAGAATACAATAAGGTTCATGGATTTTTGATGATTGTAAAGTGAACGAAGGATAGATAGAGAAGGAGATAGAAAGTGACCAAAAAGCGACAATGTAAACAGCGTTTTGAGAGCTAAGCTGACCGGGATGTATGGTACAGATCTCCAGAGTCAACTCAGAGAGAATATAGAAGGAATCTTTGTTCTGGTTACTTTATTGACTAAAATGAATTCATTGCTTTTGGCCTTGCAAGAGTGCTGACGTGATCTTCAGTGATACTAAGACAGCCTTATAAATTTGTATCGTGTTGGGAAAATTGCCAACTCCTTAAAAATTTGAATCTCGTAAATGTTGAAATATGATAACTTAAGGGTTGGCTAGCCTTTTTTAAGGCTATAAGGCAGCATGTACTAAATTGTACCGAGTCAAAGAATAATACATTTAGTAAAGTCAAGATTGAAAGGCCGAAATCGGGTTAATCCTGTTTAAGGAATGATGGTGTATCTACTCTCGGTCAGTGGAATAAAAAGCTTGACTTTAATTTTATAAATTATACCACTTCATTTATCCGAAGAGTTTAAGTTCTGACCTAGAATGCATATTGCCATCGATTTACTTGATTTTGTTGTCGGCTTCAGCTTGTTTATTTTCAGTTTTCGGGGGTCTGATGCTTTACAAAATGTACCAGTTTTGGTGGATCTCAAAGAAGCTATTTTAATAAATGAGCTTAAGTGAGCTGAATAGAAATACCAAAATATTATGATAAACTTCTACAGTCCAGACCGATCCTGTAGCTTTTAAAACCATCTCTAAAACTTGGATACAACCCCAGCTCACCTCAGATTGGTATCAACCCTAACATTACTTCATGCGATCTAGTGTGTGATCCGGGTTCCCAATAAAGACTTACTGATAGTTTTTAAAACTACTTAATTAGTATTCAGTAGTGCCATTGTCAATCAGGACAAATACCTTAAATACGAAGGGAGATACGCCATGGAGATCAGATTTACTATGGCCCGTGAGGAGTGATAATTTTATTGCTCGATGCAGAAGACCAATTTTCTAATCCCATTGTGGGGGGATGATAAGACTCAAAATGAAGTGAAAACCTCAGCCAAACACGTACGAGAAAGTCGTTTAAGTAGCTAAGTGGTATTCAGTATAGTGCAGGATATCTTACTGTCAGTCCTCGCACCACCTTAGGCAGGCTTTATAACAGTCAGGCAAAAAAGTGTTACTAATTACAAAAAAGTAGAGTATCAGGGCTAATCACAAAAAGACACTATCGCCTATAAATGAAAAGTGGATGTTACTGAGTAATTGGGCGAGGCGTTAAGCGCTGGTGAGCCTGGATGAGAACAATGTTATTGGATACAATACAAAAGCATAGCCCATCCTCCATCCCCCGGTGGGCAGAGTAAACTTCAATTGAATACAACTCTAGATCATCCAGGCTAGGTAAAGTCAGAAAAGTTTCAATGGGCCTTTAAAAACTTATGTAAGCATCTACCATTAACTGAAATATGAAAATTCTCTCATTTATGATTGGCCCCATTAACTAGGCCAATTAGCATTTTCTAATTCAGTAAGTTTCAATGTGAATATCTACACAAAATTAAAAATACTTGTAATAAAAATGGACCTGTAGTTTATACTAGAGGAACATAAGTTTTTTAGCCCTGCATTTTGTCTGATGACTTCTCAAACATCATCAGAGCCCCTTATCGTGCTTTAAAATGTATCAAGCCCATCGAGAAGTAACCAATTGTTCGGCCTAGCTATCCTGATCTGCTTTGAGAAGACTGATGAAGCTGACGTGGAACCTGTACTGAAATCCATCCCAAATTTGAATGTGGAATTAGGATATAAGGTAAGAGGCGATAAAAAAAGAAAATCCCACCCTTAATCCAAATATTTCCTAAAGGTTCGAGTATTAGCTCCTGCAACATCCAGTGACCAAGGTGGACCTATGTTCTTGAATGAGACGCAATGAAAATCTCTGGGCCTAAAAACCTTTATTTACTAACAAAACAACCTAATATAATATAGTTAATACATCAATATTCCAATATCATAATCTCCAACCTAATTGGGTGCAATGTTGAAGTGCAGGGAAACCCAAAATCAGGGCTAATATAAATGCATTTTAGCCCTCACGGTTATGGCCAATAATAGTTAAAAATTCAAGTTTACCGTATGACATACCTCGGTACATTTTATGC